CACACACCACGTGCGGGAAAAATGCACATTTCTCCCGCAACTGTTACAACACTGCCGCATTGCGAGACAGGATACCTAGCTGCAAACATTTGTGGAAAAAGCACAAATAAGCGTTTACAAAGCAAACACAGGGCCTTCTGTACACGAACCGTTGACGATTTTTTTCGCCGACCGAACGCAGGGCTTCTTGCACAGGATCTTGCTGCCGCACACACCATGCGCGGGAAAAATGCACATGTCTCCCGCAACTGTAACGACACTGCCGCATTGCGAGACAGGATACCTAGCTGCATACGTTTGTGGAAAAAAGCACAAATGAGCCTTCACAAAGAAAACAAAAAACCTTCTTGACACGGAACCGTTGATGATTTTTTTTGCCGACCGAGCGCAGGGCCACTTGCACAGGATCTTGCCGCCGCACACACCACGCACGGGAAAAATGCACATGTCTCCCGCAACTGTTACAACACTGCCGCATTGCGGGAGAGGATACCTGGCTGGATACGTTTGTGGAAAAAAAGCATAAATGAGCTTTTACAAAAGAAACAATTGGCTTTTTTTACACGGAACCGTTGACGATTGTTTCCGCAGACCGAACGCAGGGCCTCTTGCACAGGATCTTGCTGCCGCACACGCCACGCGCAGGCAAAATGCACATTTCTCCCGCAACTGTTACAACACTGCCACATTGCGAGAAAGGATACCTAGCTGTATACGTTTGTGGAACACACTGTCTACCTTCAATTGCAGGATTGTCAGGATTGTTGCCACACTGCTGCACTGCAGCCATATGGGTTTTTTTCTGAGGCGAAAAGTGTCACATTCACTAAGACAGTCGAAGCGAAACGCTGGTGAGCGAATGCAAGCTGTGGGCCAACTCCACACGCGTCCTGATGGGATTGCCTTGCTGTAGACACTGTAGACTTTGACTTGACCTCTCGGAAACAATCCAGAATTGTTTGCAGGTCTGATAGGCCTGGTCTGTGAAATCCACAAGCGGAAAGCGCACCGCGGCCCGATCCGACCCAGGAGCCCAGAAAGGAAAAATGAAGGGAGCCCAAAATGGAAGCCCAGCCCCATTGCCATCCGACCCAGGAGCCCAGAAAGCAAACAGGAAGAGGGAGCTAAATGGGAGCCCAGACCCGTTGCCGCGCCCACCCATCCGACCCAGGAAGTCAGAAAGGAAACATGAAGGGAGTTAAATTGGAGCCCGGCCGTTGCTGCGGCCCACCGTTGCCGCGGCCCCCATCGGACCCAGGAGACCAGAAAGGAAACGTGAAGGGAGCCCCGTTGCCGCGGCCCACCCATCCGACCCAGGAGCCCAGAAAGGAAACATGCCGCGGCCACCCATCCGACCCAAAAGTCAAAAAGGAAACATGAAGGGTTGTCCGGGCCCAACCATCCGACCCAGGAGCCCAGAAAGGAAGCATGAAGGGAGCCCCCAGAACCCAGAAAAGAAAGAGCCCAATAAAAACCTGCCCCACCCATCCAACCCAGGAGCCCAGAAAGGAAACATGAAGGGAGCCCAATGGGAGCCCGGCCGTTGCCGCGGCCCACCGTGACAGAAAGGAAACAGGGAGCCCAAAGGGAGCCCAGCCCCGTTGCCGCGGCCCCACAAACATGTGAAGGGAGCCCAATCGGAACCCAGCCCCATTGCCACGGCCCACCCATCCGACACAGGAGCATGGGAGCCCAGCCCCGTTGCCACGGCCCGCCCAGAAAGGAAACATGAGGGAGCCCAATGGCAGCCCTGCCCCGTTGCCGCGGCCCACCCATCCAGCCACCGCGGCCCAACTTTTTTCTGAGGAGAGAACCCCAAACGATTCTGTTTGGGGAAAAATTCCTTCTGTACACTATTTACACCGCTGTTTACACTTTCTAAGCTACCCTGTCGTGCCCTGAAAGACTCAGTAGGCGATGAGGACGATGTAGTACCCCGTGTTGGCCCTTCTCCCACAGGGACAGTGCCCATTCCAGCAACACCCATTGGGTATCTCCAGTGTCCAAGCAGTAAAGATATTCTCTTCCATCCTCATGAAAATGGCGCTCCCACGTCTTCCCATCACAGTCGATGATTTGAAGTTCAGCAGCTTGAGGCACTTCGCCTCCACCAACAGCGTATAAGTCCTCTTCTGACTCCTGCCGTATCCTCGCCGCTTCCAACTCCAGGATTTCTCCCTCACTCATCACCATAGCAACAGGAACAACTCCTTCTGCGTCCCCAGCGAAGAGGATACTGCCTTTTGTCGCAGCAACAGGCGCAGTTTCTTCCGCTTCACCTGTCAACAGATCACCACTTGCATCAGCGCCACTCACCTTGTTCCGAGCTCGCTTGAACACAGGGGTAAAATCCCCAGCCAGATCCGTCTGGCATCCTTGCTCCACCATCTTTGACGTAGAGGAGCTTGCCTTTGGCGCTCCCGTTGATCCAGCAGGTTCCGCAGCTCGAAGACCAAGCCCATGCTTGCTCAGAAGGCGTAACAAAACCACTTCCATCTGGTCTTCCAGTCCTTCCACCACCGGCTTCTCTTTGCAGAGCTTCCACATTGGGAACCATTTTTTGACCCGTTACAGACCTTTTGGCACCACCTTCACCTTGATCGCTCACATTGGAACTCGACGACGCCGAACCAGTCTGTAACCAGCCAGAAGCCATTGCTTCCTACCACCCTAAAGCCGAAACACAAACCGCAGGGAACCTAATTTGGGCTCATAACCTACGGGGGCAACCGAAAGGGGACAAGGAACAATATCAACCCTCAACAGCTGCCTATATGGATTCCCCAGAACGAACCAGAAAACAGAACAACCCACAGCGTCACAATCCTGAACCACCAAGAGGGAAGGGGAAGGACTTCTACCTCCAAACCCCCAACCCGGGCGTTCTAACTTTTTAACTGCAGACGGATGGGTCCGGGCCATCCTTGAGCCAAACATTATCGGGCGCATTGACCCTTTTTCTCTACCTCCAACCCAATTCCTGAATACAAACTGCAGCTCCGCATAGGGTTTAGGGCTTAGGGCTTAGGGTTAAGGGAGTTAAGGGCTTGGGTTTAGGGGAAATTAGGGCTTGTAGCCTTGAGCCTGATCCCTAGAAGGCTTCTCGGACTTCTAGGGTGTAGTAGGGATTTGATCACAGCCCACCACAACCCTAAACCCCAACCCTAAACCCCAACCGCAAGCCCTAACACCCAAAGCCCTGAACACCTGATACCATAAGCCCTATACCCACCATCTAAACCTCTCCAAAAGGTACACCGCTCCTGGCCCTGCGAAGTGAGCTGCAACGCCATGTGAGGAGCACTTTGTGGCGAGGCTCACCTTTCGTGGGCTTAGGGTTTCGTGGATTTAGGGTTTAGGGTTTAGGTTTTGGGCCTTAGGCCTTAGGGTTTAGGGTTTAGGGTTTGGAATAGGGGGCTGAGGGCTGTTTAAGGGTTTAGGGGCTCAGGAGTCCTTGTGTGATTCGGTTCTTTTGGGGTTTAGGCTTAGGGTTGAAGGTTTTTAGGGTTTAGGGTTAGGGTTTAGGGTTTAGGGTTTAGGGTTTAGGGTTTAGGGTTGAGGGTTGAAGGTTTTTAGGGTTTTGGGTTTCAGGAGTTTCGGGCTTGGGCTTTAGAGGGTCAAGGGGGTTCAGGGTTGAGGGCTTTAAAGGGCTTTTAAGGGTTTAGGGGGTTGAGGGTTTGTCTGGGGCTTTTGGGGTTTAGGGATTCAGGGCCGAGGGCGAGGCGTTGGGCAAGTAGTGTGCTTCATGGCTCTACAAACCCGAAACCCAAACCCTAAACACCTTTGTAGCACTTTCAGCCCCTTCGAGTGCTCTGGGCATGGCAGCTGGGTTTAGCTACGGAAACATCCTTTCAGAAGCACGAAGATCGAGACCCTACATGCTCTTCAGCAACAAGCCCGAGCTACTGACTATTATAGCCATGGAGAGTTGGGCGTGTCTCGCTCCAGGGATCTCCAGGGTTTTCGTTGAGCTCCCTACTTATACGTGCAGAGGGGCCGAGTTAAAGGGTTGACGGTTAGGGTTCAGTAGCTTTGTAAGGTTTTTGTTAGCAAGGAACCCAGGCCAACAGCCCTGAGGCCGTTTGGGCTACCTGTACACTTGCTGGCCGAGCAGCTGGCGACCGCGAAAGAGAGGGGCCATCACGAAGCCCACGGGCTTTGGGCCATGAGGTCTGTGTGCTTCTTGAAGGGGTGCGGGGGTCTAGGACAACTGAAACCAGACTGAAACAAAAGCCGCTGCGCCTTCATTCTCAGACGCAGCGGAAAGTGGGTGCTAAGGGGTGGGTCCAACGGCTCCCGGGGCCCTAACATGCTGAGGGCTTTGGGCTTGCATATGTTCGATAATTGCATATGGCAGCCCCCAACTGGAGCCTCATTGGCTACGGCGCGCTTCCAGCATCGGCGCGGCGTCGGCGGATGAGAAGCTGCTGCACTTCTGTGTTTTCAGTGTGGACCATGCTGCGCGTCATGATTCCTCTCCATAGGACGCCGTATATAGAATAAGACAGCGCCGCAAGTACCTTTGAGGGCCATGCTTGTGGAAACTGTTTGAGGCACCTGAAGCTGCTTTTCTGTTTCGGGGAGGCAACCTATCGACTCGGAGATCGCGTTTTCGAGAAGACCCCTTAGGGCGCTCCGGGACCCGATTTTTCACTCAGAGGAGCGAGGCAGGCTGGCTGTCGGGTGAAACCAAGGGGCGTGCAGAGTTACGGAAAAAGCCGCGGACGGCGTCGTCCAAAAAGGGGGCGAGTTTTATCAGAAAGGGTTCCTCGGATTCACCGTCACCGCTGGCACCCTTGGCCTTATGGAGGCCTTCAACATAGAGATGGTGTGTTTCGGCCTTCCTATGGCTTTCATTTGAGGAAGGCGGGGGGAGCTGTTGGGCTTAGGATGCACGATGTCTGAGCCCAAACCCGCGAAACCACCTTGCAACACCCAACTAGAACCGCCCTGCTTTGGGACTGAAAGAATCGAAAGCCGATCCCACCTCTGGCCGGGCATCACTCTTCATATACCTCTTCAGATCCTTCCTCCTCTTCAGACGAAACCTCCTTCGATCGCACCTCCGCGTCCCTGATCCTCAGGCCTGGCCTCGCCTCTTGGAGCTTCGCCAGGGCCTGGCGCGCAGCTCTCGGAGCGGCCCTCACAAGCAGGGGGGGACAACCTCAAGGTCCCTCCCCCCCGCCTCCCTTCCCGCATCTCCCCTTGTGGTGTAAAGAAGTTCGATCTCCTGGAGGGTCGTGTTGATCCTGAGGGCCTCGGCCAAAGCCTTCGCAGCATGAATTTCAGCCAATGCGCAGTGAGACGCCCCAGACAGCAAACCCACAATTCAAGTCAAAGTCAGAAGACCCCGAACTCATCGGAACTCTATAAGGCTCTGAGGGCACAATCTCAAAGCTGTGCGCTCCGAGCAGGGAGCTCAGTGACACAAGCTGAGGGAGCCGAGAGCAAGACGTCTCAACCGCCTTTCCGAAACGAGGCTCCCTTAGGTCTGTGAACATCTCCGCCTACGCCCAGCAAATCTTCACGTTGCTCCCCTCCGCCTTCACTCCCGCATCTCCGATCTTGATATTATGGGAAAGATTGATCTTCTGGACGGTTTTGTTGACCTTGAGGGCCTCGGCCAAGGCCTGCGGAGCTTTCAGGGGCCACGCAGACACAGGACACACGCTGAGGGAACCAGGACAACGTGACATGTGCGTGCACTGAAAAGACTAGAAGAGCAGTATTGCTGCACAAGCGGAAGCTTGAGAAGAGCACGTGCAGCTAAAAAAACACGACCCCCACCCTTCAAAGTGCTTCAGTCGTTTGTTTTCTCCCATGCCTGTTGGACCTTTCTGGGCTAGTGAACTGCTTGAATCTATGCTGGCTTTCCGGCAGCGGGCACCGGGGACCGGGTCTCCGCCTCTTGACATACCACAAGTGCACCGCCGAGATCTCTACGCATGAGCCCAGAAAGTTCATCCCACGCTACGTGTATTTATCAGAATCTTTACTGTTGCGGTCAGCTCTCACGAATCCAGCGCCACATTGGGGCTTCATGCGTGTACTGTGTGTACCCTTTGGCTCCGTCCTAGACCGAACAAATATCTCGACCCGATGCAAAAATATAATCACGGCCACCGCCCTCTTCCAATCCCCATAATCGCCCCTGTCAACATCCTCCCACATGAATTTCACCCAATGCGCAGTGAGACGCCGCAAGAAGCAAACCCAGAGTCCAAAACCCAAGAAGACCCCGAACTCATCGGAACTCTACAAGTGTTAGAATAGTGCATTGCTTCCAGACCAACTGCTTGGTCTAGTCACATTGCTTGTGGCCGGGACACATGACATTGTGTCACTCTTGACCTGACTGGCTCAAGGTTGCCAACAAGGATTGGCTCAAGACTCAAGAGATAAAGTCATTGCTGAATGACTGTACTTGCTGTGAATCTTTGCTGTGTGTATTGACAGATGGAGACCAATAGCTGACATGTACTTTGATTGTATATTTCGCCTTTGTGAAATTTCATGGTTGCGGAGCTCTGCGCCGAGCTCAGGGACTCCGACTAGTTTGTCTAGCTGTCAGAACCTAGGATTGTACAAAGAAGTGTTTTCGTTTTTTCTGAGTGTGGATAGAGCCCATTGTGTTTGAGAAACTGCTATTGTTGAGTAAGCATGTACAAACCCTTGGAAAGCCAAGTGTACAGATTGGCCGGGGCAGCCTGAACATTTTGTGTAAAGATTGGCAGGATTGTTTCCTATCTCATACGGCATGGCTCCAAGCCAGATTGAGATGAGAGCTTGTTTGCTTACTTTTGCATCAGTCCGTGATTGCAATGACATGAGCTTGTGTATAGGTTGTTTCTTGCTCAACATGACGGGAACTGATGAATTGCTTGTTTCAGTTCATGATTTGACTGCACGTGTCAGATTCAGGTACAGATTGCACGCGCCTGCCCTCTCAGGAACTGGTCACTGCATTGTGTAACAGCATAAACAAATGAGTGTAGCTGGACTGGAAGCGTGTACTGTGATGTTAGTCTGTTGCGTTAGGATCTGTAGGATTGAAAGTGTTTAGAGATGTGATTAGGAGCTGCTGAGTTTGGTTTTGCTGTATTGGAATATCAAAGCCGAAGCTCGTACGCGATATTGAGCACGCATCTCTGAGATTGAGTTTGAGGCTGTCTGTACTTGAACTGCTGAGGTACACCGCATTGGATCAGACTTGTCAAGGAAGCGATGAGATTACCATTGAAGTTGCTGAAGAAAAGTGAAAATAAGAGGAGGTTCCAGTCCCTTCAAAAAGATATTGGAGGTTTCAGTCCCCAAAAGAAAGAAAGAGAAAAGGATTAGGAAAGGTAAAAGGTATTGAAAGAAAGAAAGGCGAAATAAAGCCGAAAAAAAGGGGCACAGGAAGTGCCATTGGGTTTAGAGCAGTCATATGAAAGACAGATGTTGTTGGATTGCATGCGAGTTGAAAGAGAAAGACGACTGAAGTGTCGATTCAAGGTGCCGTGAAAACTGAAGAAAGGCCTTGAGGACGTGAAGCGTGCACAGAAGGATTGAGGACGGACAGATTGGCCATGTTGCCCGTGCGTGCGATCATGCTTTACATGCCGACAACCTCGGTACTTACGACATTTCCTGGCTTCGGTCAGCGTCTCTTCCGCCACGACAATCATTGGCCAGAGCATTCAATCCGTGCGAGTGGGTAAAGCATCCATGCCCGAACCATGATTACGTACATGTTCCCAATCCGTGCGAGTGGGTAGAGCATCCATGCCCGAACCATGATTACGTACATGCTCCCAATCCGTGCGAGTGGGTAGAGAATCATACAGCACCCATGCCCGAACCATGATTACGTACATGTTCCCAATCCGTGCGATGTCCAAGACACTATCCCGCCCAACCAAGCCTTCGTCGACAGTGCGTGGCTGCACACGCCGGAGCCGTGAGTGCAGAAAAGAAGCAACCGCGCAGAGCATAAATGCCGAGTTTCGACTCATTTTAGAAAAACCCAAAAAACGACGTGAATATGAGCCTCTTGAAGCCTTGCACATACTCACTGCAAGCTGACCCCTGCAAATAAACATTCCTTGAAATGTAGCCAAAACCCAAGCGAGAGTACAATTTTGGTGGCTTCTGGAGTCTTGCGGCGTGCTGTGCTCTTCTGTGCCTCGGTTTTTGCCGCTGGGGGCACGGCGGGCGGGGTGCTTGGCGCCTGCTTATTGCTGTTTGTGCCCTCTGGCTCTGCCTTAGACCCGACGCGAGAATACAATCACGGCCACCGCCATCTTCCAATCCCCAGAATTGCCCCCTTTCGATATCTTCCCACATTAACTTCAGCCAATGCGTCGCGAGACGCCCAAAGTAGCGAACCCAGAATCCTAAACCCAAGTCAGAAGACCCCGACCTCACCCGAACTCTAAAAAACTCTGAGGGCACAATCTCAAAGCTGTGCCCTCCGAGCAGAGAGCTCAGTAACACAAGCTGAGGGAGCCGAGAGCAGGATGTCTCAACAACCTTTCCGAACCGAGGCACCCTTAGGTCTGTGAACATCTCCGCCTACGCCCGGCATATCTTCACGGCCCTCCCCCCCGCCTCCGCTCTGGCAGGTCCGATGTTGTTAAACTCAAGATTGATCTTCTGGAGGGCCGTGTTGACCTTAAGGGCCTCGGCTTTGCGGACGTAAGTCTGGTCGGTAAGGTGAAACAGGCTTGCCGGGCCTGCACAAAAATGATGGCTACAAGGAGCGCAAGTAAGGTCAAGCAAGTCAAAGCTTGCACACAAAAATGGGCGCCCTCAGGGCACGTGAATTTGGAAAGGGGGCTGCAGCCCAACAAACTAATTTCCTCTCCCTTTCCCAGGCTTGATAGCCTCACTTGGTAAAGGGGCAGTCGAAGGCTTCGAACTCCACAGGCGTCCTTGCCGGTCGAAGGAAGCACCATGAGGAGGCGTTAAAATGCTGTACTCGATGACATTGACGCCGCAGGATTTCTAACAAAGGGAACTGGCCGGGAATCCTGGGCATTGAATGTTGCAATCGACAAACTTGCAGACCGCTCAGCACCATCGCCATCAGCACGATCTTCTTGCGACAAAGTATGTGGGTGGCGCAGAAGTCGGCCTGGACTCAGCATCAGTCGAACATCTACTGTGGGTCCCTCAATTCCCAGGCACCATTTCGACGTCAGCGGACGTGTCACATGCACCAGGAGCAGAAACCGCAGCCTTGGCTTCCCTCCTCTGTTGCCTCTTCCTCTGCCTGCGCTCAGCACGGCGCTGACGCAGACGAAGGACCGAGGCATCGTCATCCAGAGCGCCAGTGTCACCACCAGCACTCGGGGAGCGAGCAGCATTCCCCGAGACCATCACTGACGCAGCAGCCGGAGCATCAGCCGGCCGCAACGCGGCCGACACAGCAGCAGCGGCGACCGCCGCGATGGTGCGGCGCGGGGCCTTTGCGTCGCACGCGGCACGCACAGCCGCAGCCACAAGGGCTGAGCCATGGCGCACCGACATTTCTCTCCTATGTTCGAAACCTAAGGGGAAAGCCTCGAACAGCAATCGCTGGAGCCTTACCTCGAGCAGCAAGACGTCTCAACAGCCTTTCCGGCTTAGGTCTGCTAACATCTCCGCCTACGCCTGGCAACTCTTCACGTCCCTCCCCCCGCCTCCGCTCCGGCAGGTCCGATGTTGTTATCCCGAAGATTGATCTCCCGGATGGTCGTGTTGACCTTGAGGGCCTCGGCCAAGGCCTCCGGAGCTTTCAGGGGCCACGCAGACACAGGACACATGCTGAGGGAACCAAGACAATGCGACATGTGCGTGCACTGAAAGACTATAAGAGCAGTCTTGCTGCACAAGCGGAAGTTTGAGAAGAGCACGCGAGCACCTAGCAGCTGAAAAAAACACACGACCCGCACCCTTCAAAGTGCTTCAGTAGTGGACCAGGATTTGTTTTCTCACATGCCTGTTGGGCCTTTCTGGCCTAGTGAACTGCTTGGATATATTCTGGCTTTCGGGCCGCGGGCACCAGGTCGACGCCTATTGACATACCACAAGTGCACCGCCGAATTCTCTACGAAGAGCCCCAAAAAGTTAATCCCACGTTACGTTTATTTATCTTTACTGTTGCGCCCAGCGCTCATGAATCCAGCGCCACGCTGGGGCTTCATGTGTGTACTGTGTCTACCCTCTGGCTCCGCCTCAGACCGAACAAAATATCTCGACCTTCGATGTTAGAATATATTCACGGCCACCGCCCCGTGTTGACTTTCAAGACGCCCCAGAATCCAAAACCCAGCAGGTCAGAACACAGCGGATGTCTCCTGACATGGATGATTTTGCTGGGCTATTTGACCTGACCTGAGCACTATAAGCGAACTCAAGAGGTACGGAAGCTCTGGAGCCGAGAGGAGCTCCCACACACCAAAACGCTAGGAACCTCTCCCGCAGGAAAGGGGTACGTACTTGTATCCGGTATCAAAGAAAGAAGCCTCAACAGCTTTTCCAAAATCATTGCAGTGTGTTCATGCACGCCAGCGGGCAGTGAATTTGGCGGAAGCTCTGCAGCGGGGATGCCTCAGGATGCCATCCGTCCTTCTCCCTCCCGCGGGGCCTGCACCCCTTCGTCTCCCAAGCCGTTCTCTGCAAGCCTGATGATGCGGAGCGTTGTGTTGACCGTGACCTTGAGAAAGTCGGCAAGAGCCTCCGCAGCACGGAGGTCGTTGCACCACCCCAGCCCGCCAGGGAAGCATTCTGGTGCCCTACAACTCTTTCCCTTGACGTGTCTGCGACAGCTCTTACACCTGGCCACTGCGCACACACATGGCCACACGGCACGCACCCCGCATCCTCCCACATCCCGCGCCTTCACTGCTTGGGCCTTGAGACTTCCGCCGAGGTTTAGTTGGGTCCACGTTGCGACCGCCGCGTTGGCCCTCAGCCGCTCTGCCAGCACCTGCCCAATGCGAGACTCGAAACGCCAGATTGAAGCGCAAAAACAGAAGTCTGCCAGAAGTACATTTCTGATCGCTCCTTTACATTTCCTTACAGATTGGGGTGGATTCCTGGGTCTCGGCCAGGCTTTTTGCGGAAGACCGGCTCTAAGCCTCTCAGCATGCGCCGCACAACTCAACTGCTTGGGCGCCGGGATTTGAGGCTGCAGGAGTCTGCCAGGGCCGCCGGCATCGCCACCATCCGAGGCCTCTATGGAGAAAAACAGTATATATAGCTTACTCACGAAAGGCCCATGAATGGAACTGGCGTGCATCCACCGGGTCACCTCGTGTTGCGGAGAAGCACGAAAACGGTGAACGTAGACCCGACGAGCCTCCGATTCGTCGAGCTTGAACACCCCGCCGAGGTGCTGGCGCTGCTCAGCCTCGGAAGGGCGCGTTCGAGGCCGCTGAAACGCGACGAGCGAAAGACCCGAAGCAAGAGTCCAGGCAACACCACAAGAGGTCCACACTTCGCGTGTACAGTGAAAGACATATAAGCCGGTCAACTGCGTGTTAGCTGCTGGGGTCGACCGGAAATAGCAAACAGCACGGTCAGCATGAAGCCCCGAAGGCGAGGCAAGAGACCATGGGAAGCAAGTGTTGCTTGACGTCTGGACGCCGTGTTGATGGACGTCGTTGTTTCTGCTGCGAGCGACAAGCTCCAAGAGGATGCCCTGAAGCCCCGATCTCAGGCCGCGGCTGTCATCCGAACATACCGCCCCCAAAGGTCGATGCGTTCGACGGTGTGGTTCTTCCTCACGGCTTCCTGGAGAGCCTGCGCGGAACAAGCCACGGACCTTCGCCGCATAATGTGCACTCCCCCCCCCCCCCCCCCTCCCAACAGCCTGCACACCCTTATCCATGATTCTCTGATGGCCCAGGCCGAGCGCCGTGAGGCTCGCGTTGCCTTCCAGCGCCCGAGCAAGCGCCTGCACTCTTGAAAGCACGGGAGAAAAAAGAAGCGCGATATAGCACGATGCTGTCCCTGGCGTAAGCGCATCCCGCGACGGCTTACTAAAGAGGCAGCCGCAGGCCTGCGCGCCACGGTCTCCGATGTCAAATTTCCAGCCGCCTTGTTCATCCTGGCACGGGGTGGGGACGTCATTCCTTCTGCTGCGGAGCGTGGCCGGAAGAAGCTCCAGAGGCCTCGACCCCGCAGAGATCGTTCGCTTTCCCTTCGAGCTTGAAGCTTCGGAGGGCGCGGTTCGTCCCGAGGGCACGAGCGAAGGCCTGCAGCTTATTGAGAAAATTATACAGAAATCTATTGACATGCCCGCACCCCCTGCAAAGGTAGGGATTATATTACACGCAAAAAAACCAAGGAGCCCGGGGCATCCGGATGCCGAGCGGCCTCGGCGCCGGCGTCTCCGACCAGGCAGTTGGCCAGGCTCAGCTCGCGGAGCGCGGCGTTGCCGGCCACGGCCTCCGCCAGCTCCTGCCCAATAAAAAAAAGGCACGGAGATGCGGAGGCGAAACGTGCTGACCCAAAGAAGGAAACGTGCTGACTCCCGAGGCCGTCGCCCTTTCCTCGCCCACCCTGGCCTCCGCCAAGTCTTTCCCCCTCATGAACCGTGATGGCCGATAGAAGTCGAGGCAGTCCCGGAAGGCGAGGCGGCGTAGGGAGGAGCCCTCGGCCTTCAGAATCTCCGCCACAGCCTGCGGAGCCCAAGTTTTTCACCGAGGCCTACAGCTCTTGAGCGGATGTATCCTCCGACCACGTTTCGATCCAAGATCCCCAAGGCCCAAGACCTTGAAATAGCACCCAGGGGCCCTGCCCGCTTGAGGCATTCTTGAAAGCCACTCATCGAAGCACGGCCCACTGCGAGCTACAACACGCTATTATGCACACGGTGATGCAGGACTGACATGCAGGATGGAAAAGTCGGCCGTGCCTTGGCTACCGGAAGAGCGATCTCCAGCTCGAGCAGCTCGACGAACTCAAGGTCCGTCACAGACGATTCATGCATGGCCTGCGCTAAAACTGACCAAGGCCGAGGGAAGAGAAGAGAGATGCCGCTGGCTGCCCGTGTTTGGGGCCCTTGCCTGCATCAGCTTGGCCGCCTGCTGTTCGTCGCACTCGATGTGCCGGAGGGTCAGCGATCGGAGCTTCCGGAAGTCCGGCAGGGCGGAGGCCAATCTCAACACCTCCGCACCCGACAGGTTCTCGAAGGCGGCCACCTCGCAGTCCGCGACCTTCTCGTGGTAGATTTTTGCCTGCAGAGGCACGCGGAGAGAACGGCCGTGCAACTGTGTACCATGTCTCAAGGCTGGGGAGGCCTGCAGACGGATCACCGGCTCCAGGTCACTCCGGTGAGTGAATTTCAGGGCCCCTACTCCTGCCGCGAAGTCGCCGGGCGTCCTTGGGACACGGCCCTTGAAATCTGACGCCATGTTAGCGCCACTGTCGGTGCCGGGCCGAGCTCCCGGGTCCCCGTCGATGCGCACGTTCCGCCAGCTCTCTTTGCGGCAGCTCGACCACTCGAGCTCGGCCCGGCACCACCCCCGCTCTTCGTAGGGCGTGTCGTTACGGGTGAGACTGTGCACGGGCACGGGCACCACGCCGCCGCTGGGCTCGTGGAAGATGAGTATGCGTTCGTCCTTGCACTTCTCCCACCGGGCCGCGGGCGTCAGGCCCTCCACGCGCAACGTGTAAGTCGAGTCGTGCGCATAGAAAACATGCATATTGTTCATGGCGGCCCTGAAGCTAAGCTCCTGCTCCCCTTCGGAGCGCTTGTACTGAAAAAGGCTCATGTAATCGACAAAGAGCCAAATGGGAACCCCGTAAGCTAAGTGGTACATCATCGTGGCCTTGGCAACCTGCTCCAGCTGGTGCCCACAAGGGTCGGGATGCTCACGGGATTCCCAGCAGTGTGAAACAGACATGATGAGGGCATCATCCTGCTCGCCCCGCCAGGCCCGCATTTCTGCGTGGGTGACCAAGGCGGAGCGACCGTCCTCGCACAACTCACTCTCCGTCTCCTGCCGCCGGAGCACCCTCTTCCCCTTTCGGGTCAGCTTCCACAGGTACCTCCAGCGGATCTTGCAAGCAACATGGCACAGCATCATGAATTGAAAGCGAGCATGCGACATGCAAGTACAGACTTTGCAGCAATGCCAGGCAGGGGGGGGGAACTCCGCTCGCACCAGACGGATGTTGGAATCCACGATGAAGTCCCGCAGGGATCTGAGAGGGCTTCGCACGAAAGCGTTTGCAGAGGCCCCTGGATGGGCTCTCGCAATATCTTGCAACCACCGCTATAAAGAGCCGAAGCCGACCGTGCCTGGCATCAATCAGGTTGTACACAGCCTGACGAGATCTGCAGCGATGAGTGTCACCAGCGCTTGGGATGCCACACTCCAACGCCTCCTGAACCCTGAAGCCGAGACGGAATGGGTGCGTGCCCTGAAGAATTGAAGGCCTTTCTGGTGTCGTCACACCCCCGCACTCCTCAACCAACTATCATAAATATTGACTTCCCGAAAACCGGAGCTCAACCCTGAACGCTGAGCAGCTCTTTGCGAACGCCCAAGGGGCTTTTTCGGACATCAATTGCAGCTCCTCGGGCAGACTTAAATGGTAGTGAAAAAAGTATTGGGTTCGCGTCTGCCTCGCGCACGGTGTCCACAGGTACAGGGGCTGTTGTCTACGCAACATGCCGCGCCTGGAGGCCCCTAATAAAATCCCCACGATGGGCTCCTTGAGCCCACACAAGCTCAAAACAACATGGTACAACCCGCCCTGGCACCCCAAACTCTCTCCCAAACTTCCTGTGCCAGCACTCACTTAACAAGCCCTCACCTTCCCCAGGGTTTAGTGTTTATAAATAGGGTTCTAGGGTTCGGGCACACGGCCCTGGGAGACCCTAGGAAGTGATGCTGAACCCTCAATCCCAATCCACTGAAGGCCCTGACGACACTGGTACGACCCAAACACTCCCGCGACATGCCTCTACAGCCATGAAAGGCATGGGAACCAAGCCCGCACACGAGCTCGCCCAAGACATCTCCCCACCCCCCAGCCCCCCACCCACAACAAACAACACACGCACCGACGCACCGCCCTCTTCTGATATCCCCGACCCCTTAACCCCCAAAAACATGAAGCCAAACCCCACAGGCCAGGGATATTCAGATGCTGACCCTACAAGGTCCAAGGGGAGTTAATTGTTTTAAACTCTCGTATTCACTGCTTTTCTTGGGTATACCGGCTCGATGTCAAACCCTGAAGCCCTCGAAACCCCTCAGGAGGCCCTTTAGGAAAGGCTCAATCTAGTACCCATGCAAAGTGTCCGTTCAGGCTTTAGTTCAGGGGTCTTGATCCTCAAGCCTGCGCCCCAGAATCCTTGGAGCAACGCTCTCCTGCCCGTCTCCTTTGTCGGCATCGCCGTCACCTCGGCTCTTGCGCCGGGGTCGCCCAAGGCCGACAATGAGAAAAGTTGGGACCCCAATCTCAACCCCACAACCCGGCGAAACCCCAGGCTCAAGCCTGAAGCCCAGGAACTCAAACTCAAACTCGGCCAAGGGACAGCTGCAGGAGCCGCCCATGTTCGTGGCACAACAGGCATGGAAAAATCGGAACTTCTGAGACCCTCAGTCCTAAGCCAGCAAGGCTTCCGAGATTCTGCACACTCCCTCACTGTGTACCTTCTGACACAGGGTCACAAGGAGCACTCTGTCCCGTTATGTCCCCTTCTACCTCGAGTCGGCGAATTAAAGGCGCCCGGAGTACATGGTGTGGTTTATTTAGGGTTAAGGGTTAAGGGTTTAGGGTTTAGTAGGGTTTACGGGTCAGGGTGAAATTAGGGACTTTGGGCCATGAGCTTTGAGCTATTTCTCTTGACCTCCGTGCTTTCTCGGGCTCAACCCTATGAACTTTAAGAAGCCCAAGATTTCCCCCGCAAAAAAAAACTGTGAATTCTACGCATTAGTTTTAAGCCCCCATAAACCCTCCAAGCCCCCTTGAAACCCCACAAACCGCTGCAGAAGATCATGACGAACCTGGTCGCCCTCTGCCTGCTTTACATGGTGTGCGAAGTGTCCAAACCAATGAAAACTTGCGCAACCCGTTCCAGTAACTAGCTCAGGCCACACGAGGAGAAAGAAGTTGTATATTTACAGTTGTAGGTTGTAATGTTGCACCAGAAGTAACAGTATCCCTGTCAACGGGGAACTCAAGGTAGCTAGCCAATCGTTCCGAGCCACTCCCGACGTTAACTATCGGAAGGATCCCCAGAGTTGCTATCTCCAGGGGGTGGTAACCTATCGCTCTAGATGTATCCACTAGCCGTCCGGCTGCGTGTTGTACACCTATCCCGATATTCACCTGAACAGCCACCTGCCCTCAGTATCCTCCGGCCTCCGGCTATGAGTTGTAAAGAGGACAGACAACTATCCCAAAGGTTAGGGAAGGATCTATCCCTCGTCAACGCTCGATCCTTTTAGCTCCTCTGGCCTCCGGCTGCGAGTTGGCTAATCAGATCCACAACGTACAGGGACACTATCCACGGGGGCGAAAACTGTACAAATCTGGCTGCTACGATACTAAGAAGGGCCCTTCTTGAGCAGCTCGCGGCTGCGAACGGACACGAAGTCCATATGCTATCCAGGCTCGTCCACGAGGAGGTCGGCATCTATCCCAGGCCCAAACCCGAAATCATTGTACAAGCTAAGTTCGCACCCCATGAAATTGACTTGACCTCTTTGTGCTAAACACCCCCCGTTTTCGGGACGCACTCAGCGGTCAGAAAATCGATGAATTCGCGACTTCTATCCCGGTTAGCTTCAGGCAAAAACAAGAACGCAGGAGGCATAGTCGACCTGATCGCCAGCCCCTTTAGGGCGCCCACCACCACCCGCGATTACGGCGATCACTCCGGCTATCCTCGGGAGCAACACCGCCATCCGCTAACCTCGACATTCATCGCAGTAGCACAAACCACCAGTCCGTGGCTCTCGGCTACACTTCGTGCCCTCGTGCCTATTCCGCGTAGTAAAATTGTCTATCCTTCGCATTCCAGGAAAATCGAGCGTCGCTTCTATCCATTATGCATTCCGACTCAGTTCATCTTCTCCATAACTATCCTGGGTAAGGCCTCACTCTTAATCAGTACCCCTCGACGTCATCGTAGTTCCCACGCTTCTATCCCTTCATTCTTGTAAGCGATCTTCTCCGTGGGGACTCACTGGTGGTTAGCCATGCCCATCCTGATCTTTTCTCCTCTCCACAGCTTCATCTTTTGATCTTTTCATGTGAATGTCTTATTGGTGGCGAGCCAGGCCTTCCCAGAAGCTTCCGCCGCAGGGTCTTATTGGTGGCTAGCCAAGCCCTGCACCAGAGTCTCACGACAGCCGTTCACCCACTCATCTCATCCTGCGCCATCCATCCGCTCTATCCCCCCGCGTGCGCCACCAGCCATGGCCCGGGCACATGACTTTGCATGTTCCATTCTATCCCTCACGCCGAGCCATTGGTGACTAGGCAGCTTTGTGCTTTCGTCCTATCCCCGCTTGTCGCCATTTCATCAGGCTTCATCTCTTTGGCGATCACGTCGCGGTCTCCACATCAGCGGCCTTCCATGCTTTCCCTTTCCTTTCATAGGATCACCCGCAGATGCATCACTTGCATCGTCACCCGTCTCAACGCCCATGTTTGCCCGGTTGGTTGATGTCGTCTCAGTGCCTCTGAATTCCGGGTTGAGCGCTTCGCTCATCGCTGACTCGTCTTCTGTTTCGGGACCAGTGACGTGGCCACCTCTTTGTGCCCGAGTTCTCTCTAGCAGAGAGCCCTTTCCTCTTCCTCTATCCACCATCTTCGTCCCTTCCGCAAACCTGGGTACAGTTGGCATCCATCCGTATCTGCCTCCTCGATCAACGGCTCTATCCCTATCCCGCCCTTTTCCCCATCCGCGTGATGAGCTTCTCACCGAACTATCATCACTCATGGCGTACTTCGGCCACCTAATGATATCCCTTCTCTCCCTATGCAGAGGTGATCGGGTCCTCGCTTTGGGCTCAGCACCATCGGCTCTCGCCCCACCTCTCTCTTTCAGTTGGATTGGACTCGAACTTTCTGCCCTGGTCAGTGGCTCTTGTCTCTTCCCCGTCTCGTCCCTAAGCTCCACATCGACGGTTCTCGTACCTTTCGATTCTATCCTTCTTGGCCACCCCTTCTCGTTCAGCTCCACTAGGCTTACCCCGGCAATTGGATATGCCGTGCCCGCATTAGCCGCACGCGCCTCCGGCTGCGCCTCGTCACGAGAATGTCCGGCTACTCCCATCGAAGCCCAGTTCATCATCATTCCTCCCATCGGTACTGAGCACCAGTATACCTCATTCACCGGCCCTGTCTCCGATCTCTCCCTTCGTAGCCCTAGGTTCCGAATAGCAGATCCAGCAGCATGGCTATATCCATGAAGCTTGTTCTTCTTCCCCTTAATCTCTCCCCATGTCGCGTTGAATGGTATCCCTTCGGTGTCAAACTTCATGTGCTTCGCCATGGGTTGAGTGGGATCTCGCTTTGTTTCTGCAACTATCCTCTCCATGATCTCCAGACAACCATTTGCAGTCTGCACCATCATGTCCCTCGTGCTTTTCGCCCAAGCGTTGTTCCCCCATAACGGCGAGTTAAAACCTGCGGCCATAGCTATCAGCAGCTGATAACTCATAAACTGTCCTCCTCTCCTCAGACACCCTGCATGCATGGAGAAGAACCTCTGCCTCGCTGTCACTACAGCGCGTGCCGCAACCGTCTCAAGGGCTTGCTGGAAATCTGACGCATCCACTATTCCCGAGTGATCTGTGCCACTCTGCTTGTACTCGAAGTTCAGAATCTTCCCGAACGATGTTGCCAGCTCTCTATCCAACATCATCGCATGAATCGCCGCCTCTTCCATAGCGAACCTGTATACCCCCGGTCGTGACGCTGCGATCTCGTACTCAGGCCACAACCCAGCCCTAAAACCTAAGTACCAGTCTTCTGCGGGGTTCAAGCTCGCCAGTATCCCTGCCACCACGTCCCGTTCTATCATGTCTATCCTTTCGGCCACCATTCTGAACGGGATTTTAATCCCTGCGCGGTCGAGGGCTTCCTGTAGCTTGGTCTTCCACATCGTCTTTCTTCCCATAGTCGCGTTTCTATCCGTGATTTCCCACAAATTCGTCCCCATCAGGTAGTCCGGGTAGGATGGCATAGGCTTGCAACACATCGGGCAGATCACTATCCCTTTCGCCATTCTACAGTGGCATGCCAGGCAATGCACGCACTCCTCCGTCATTTCCGACATTATCCATCTCACTCTATCCCGGTATTCATCTGTCCCCAATGTCTTTGATAGTCTATCCCTGTTCACTTGTGAGTCTCCTCTTTCATCGGCTAACATGTCCAGCTCGCAATCACGCATGTACAGAGCCGTGTATGTGTCCTCGAACCAAACTGCTTTCCAACATGCCATTGGTACGGGCCCGAGGAGCATGAAGCGCCCACTTCTTGTTACCACCACGTCGCCTCCGATTAGTGTGAACATCCTCATGTCTATCGCTATTCCGATTCTCCTACCTCGCACAGCCGCCAATCTAAGCGAGTCGTATAGCCATTCTGGCATCCCTCCTTGTGGAAATTCTAGCCCATGTATGCTGCTCACGTCCGATGGCTCAACAGAGTACTTCGTCCAGTGTGCCTTGAGCGTCATCTGCGACCCTCGCAAAGGATTCCTCATGTCGTCCCGATGCCATCCTTCCACTATCACTCCGCTATGCCCTGCCTCTGGCCAAACTATCCCGTCCTTCGCGTATTCTTGCCACTGCGCGTCACCCACCACCATGTATCCGGTGCATGGAAGATCAGCCGGGTGCAGCCTGAACCACAGAGATTCCCGCTCTTCTTTCTGTCCCTCCACTCTGTCTCCAGCCCAACTCTTCAGCATCGCCACGTTCCTCGGCATCCTCATTCCACTCGTGGGTCTCACTGCCAATGGGATGCCCACCTTCAGCTCCTTGGTCTTCGGACATCTATACATTTTGCTGGTGATTTCTATCCCGTAAAACTGTGACAAGTAAGCGATTCTGTACTCGTCGCCTCTCCTGAGCCTATACAAAGATCTCTCGTCGACTTCTTTTCTGATCCTAGACCAGGCTATCCCTCCTCCGTGGTGTTGTTCCGCCCACAGCGCATACTCTATCCCGTTTCCTCTATCGATCGCTGATCCATCTAGCATCGCCTCCTGCGTGCTTCTTCTCATATTCCTCCTGTCGCCCCTTTGTACTGGGTACGCATCTCCTCCCCACGCTGCCAATTCCGCCACTATTCTTGCCATCTCAATGTACACATTCGCAGGGTACGGCTTTTCTATCTCGGTCACTTCTCCTTTGATTCCTAGCTCATTCAGCGTGGCACCTGTCCATGTCGTTACCGAGTCATTAGATACTCCCGTCGCCGTAACTAGCTCCTCTGGCTTTCCCTTTTCTATCCCCATTACCATCCTCGTCTCATCTGCGAGCTGCGAGACTATCCTCTCAAGTACCATCTTGTACTTCTCTAGATTCTCCAC